TTAAGATGAGAGGCTTCTTGACACCAAGGCCCACAAGAAGACATACAGGGCACAGAAGAGACAGAAACAAAGCAAAGCTACTTAAGATGAGAGTTTTTGACACCAAGGCCCACAAGAAGACAGAAAGAGCACAGAAGAGACAGAAACAAAGCAAATCAACTTAAGATGAGAGTTTTTGACACCAAGGCCCACAAGAAGACGGAAAGAGCACAGAAGAGACAGAAACAAAGCTAATCAACTTAAGATTTTTGACACCGAGGCCCACTAGAAGACAGACAGAGCACAGAAGAACCCACCCAAAGCAACTTTTTATTGTAAATTACAGTATTTTTGCACCTTCGAGCCTGCCTCAAGACACCCTAAAAGTTTGCAAATCACAATCTCGAACTTTCACCCTCCCCAAGGAGCTGAGGTGGTAAGCGATAGAAGCATTTGTGATGTCAAACGAATGATTCCCAAAAGGTGCAATCAAAGGACTGAGTTTTCGTTTGTTTTGTCCATGTATTGAAGTCAGTCCATGCATCAAGCAAACGTTCGGCTTCATCCCGGACATCTCCCCCCCAGAGATGGTGCACATTGGACAGGTAAATGATAGCTCCACCAGCAAGCCACAGTGCATACCCCAAGTTCAGAGAATGCATGCTGCAAAACTTTATTTGCATTGGGTCGAAAAGGGGAAGTTGAGTCAAGACGCTTTAGAAAGCACAGGCTACTGGTTGGCAAGTAGACAGAAACAAAGCAAATCAGCTTAAGATTTGACACCAAGCTCTCAGATCCAGCGACCCACACTGAGGTGGTGCCTTTCAGGGTTAATAATACTGCTGGTCTTGCTTTTTGGCTTGTTGGTCGAAGCCTCCCGAAAGCGGTCTGGTCAGCACTCCTTTGTTTGTGGGAGATTTGCAAGCCGCAAATTCCAGCATCTTAAGTTGCGCCTGACGTGCATTGCTCCCAGAGAAGAACCTTGCTCGCTCCCATTCAAAGCGGCGTTTCGGCTGACTATGACGTCGCTGTGGCACTTCGTCGATCATGGCACGTGCCCTTGCTGCCGACGGCGCGGCGCTGCTGGCGTATGGCCGCTCTACCAGCACTGCCGTGCGAAGCATCCGAAGAAGGCCGCACGACCGCGGCGGCCATTTGTCGTGCTTTGTGGATCGTTCGTTTCCTTTTGGACGTGTCCTTCTTGACTTTATGTTTTGTTCAATGTCATCCAAACGTTACAATAGCAAGCCATGCGTTCCTTCCAAGCATATTCTTGCACCTTCCATCCATGTACCTTCGGGGTGGTATATGGCTCGCTGGACACTTTGCGCCATCCAGACATGCATCAGCCCAGAAAGAGTTGAGAACCTCGATTGTGGCCTTGTCATATACGCCGCGTACGCCGGCCACATCGCAGGATGACCTCCTGGACGCCCTGGAAGACATGATGGAAGTCGAGCAACGTGAGAAGGAGGGGCGTGAGGCGGATCATGATGCACGCACATTGTCGGATCATGGCCGTGTGTGCGCGCCTCGTCGGCTCGTTCTCGGCAAGGGGCTCGACAAAAGATTGAGATCGAAAGCTTGGTACCTTTTTGGTGGTTTCTGATACCCACTTGTTCAGGCGCGTCATGGAGATGACCGTGACCACTCGCCGGCCGAGGAGCGCGCAGTCGCTCGCAATGCAATGACTCCCCGGACAGAACACGTTTCTGACAGGTGAACCCATGGTATATCACAACACTCCCACTGTTTCATCTCGGTTGAGCGACTTTACCTCCATTGATTTGGGCATCCATGTGGTTATGCTTTTGGAGTGGGGCAGAGGATGCTCGACCCAATCGCCCAGGAGCGAGATGCGCGGTTTGACGAAGACAAGGCTACTGTTGCTCGCTGCAAGTCGAGCGGTGGGGAGGGACGTGGACGGTATTCGAAGTTTGGCCATCTCTGGTCCCTTGTAACACTACATGGTAACACTACATGCGCAAACGAAAAACAGTGAACCTTCAACGAGAACGTGCTTGTGTTCGGGCTCGTGGGCTTCGTCTTGTTTTTCTATTGACGTGTCCTGTTCGAGTTAGCTGCTGTGTTATGCGGTCAAGCTCCGCAAAACCTAGTATCAGGCCGGTCAGGCGCAGCGCCGAGATGATGACCTTCCATTGGTTGACGATCGCGATCGCGACCATTCGCGACCCGGAGCTCCCTGGCCTGAGTTTCTTCACCGCGAGGTTCGCACACTCTATGTGGACTTCGGCCAAAAGTCTACAATAAAAAACAGAGGGGTCGAAGGTAGCTTGTGATGTTGTTTTTTTCATGGTATTGTCCAGCGGGCCCCCGGCTAAACACACCTATTCTGCAGCTGGGCGCTAGGTTTGCGGTAGATTTGGGCTAATGTTTGCCTTAGGAAATGTTCAGATTGTCGTCAGGTGTTCGAAAAGTGGCCGGCTGAAAAATGCGCTGGCCGCGCGCTGGCCCTGCGCTAGATCCGCGCAAGCAAACATCGACAGATTCCAACGTAGACCCTATCCAAGGCTGACTTGCTACATGTCTTTTGTAGCACGCATGGCGGCTCGAAACTCGGAGCTCGATCGAAAACGGTGCAGCGCTTGTGACGCCTCTTACACTTTGGCACCGCTACTTGTTTGGTTCATGTTTCTTTCATTAGCTGTGTGTGCCAAAAGTAAAAAACTATGTAGCGGGCCTCCATGTGAAGTCATTCTTAACTGTGCAGTCTACCAGTAAAGATGCCACAGAAGCTGCGCCATAGTGGCATTGCGCTCAGGTGCAGCGCCGAGATGACGATGTTCCATTGACTGACTCTCGCGACTACCGCGACTATCGCGGTCGGGAGCGTTCACGAAACTCCAGAGCTCCTTGGCGCGAGTTTCTCCGCCGTCGGGGTTCGTGCACTCTGTTTGTCCTAGGTATCCATCGAGTTTCATACGTACAGTCTACCAGTAAATACCACAGGGACTGCAGATCTGGTGAGTGCGTAGTGACAACCTCCTGTCATGTTTAGGTTAGCTGCTGTGTGGTGCAGTCATTGGCTCTGTCAAGCCTGATCTCAGACCGCTCAGGCGCTGCATCGCGACGACGAGGCCGACTATCGCGATCGTGAACGCTCACGGT